GCTTTCTTCCTCAACATTTATTTTGCTGCAATTGAAGAAACACTAAGTCGTAAATTATCACATGAAATAAAGAGCAACATTTTTATAAGGGAAAAGTTGCTAAGCTGAGATCTGCTAAAGAATAGAAAAATGATGCACATTATTTGCAACTTAAGTTCTAAAGCTTTCAGTTTTGTAAAATCCCCAATTTCAGCACGCATTGCTGAACTCAAGCAAACTTGCATTATTTATACAATAGGGTATTAGCATGATCCACTTTGTAAAATCTCAATCCCTTTTGAAACTTGTGAAATATGATTAATATTTAGGTAATTCCTTTATGTTTTTTCTGAACAATGGACAATACTTAATGAAGTCAAAAATGCAAAGGCTGCAATCAGCAATTCAAATAAATACGTAGACAATGGCTCTATTTATTCACAATGAGCAAACTAATAACTGGTTCAGGATTTAGGAAGCTCTGCTTTCATTGTACAAGACAAATTTCAAGTTTGAGAATGGGTCATACATGTCAGTAACAGTTCCAGTTTAGAGAAACAATGCTATTGCGGGCATAGTGGCACAGTAGTTATGTTCCTGTGTTAATTATCCAGAGTCTGAGAGTGATAATCTGAACGCATAACTTCAAAGTCCACCGTAGAAGCTGGGATATTTAAGTTCAGTTAAAGAAATAAATCCAAAATGAAACAAAAGTTAACATCATTAATGGCAGTGACAAAAGTGTTTTAAACATCCATCTGATTCACTGACACATTTTAGAGAACGAAATCGATATCTGGTTGAACGGCGTACTCCTAACTCGTATGTTCTATTTTGCCATTATTATCTGGTCTGACTTATATGTGACTCCACACTCACAGCATTGTGTTGACTCTTCCCTACGAGAAGGCTTAGCAAGCCACACAGTTATGTTTCAGGGGGAATGAGTGAGGAGTGAGAAATGCTCACCTTGCCAGGGTCTTGTGCATTTTCTAAATTATAAACAACTACCCTTCTGTTGCTTTTTGATTTCTGTCCTAAAAACATAAGCAAACTCTGATTTAAATATTTTTGACAGAATAGCAAACAGCTTGCATGGGAAGTAACCCAGAGGTATGGTTATCTCAATTGGAGATGTTAAAAGCATCCAACTGTTTGAAGATCCTTGATCAACTGTGAAGATATTGATTTTGAAAATTATTAAATATTATTTCTTACAGAAACGCACATTCAAGTTTTCTTTACAAAATGACACATCACATATATAAATAGCGAACATATGGGCTGGATTTCCATGGTTGACATGTCTGTGGAGATTTGTTCTACTAATTTAAAGCATCTTGTTAGGATTGATTTTGCAGGCAATATTGGTAAACACCCACAATATTCAGTTCTTGCTTCTTGTACCACACCGTCTTAAGTGTAGGAAATTTAAGATGGACAGTTTAAGTCTAGCATCATTTTCACAAAAACAACAGCTTTCAAAGGTCTCAATGGCATGACCTTAACCTGAAAATGTCTTTATGATAACTCTGAGAGAAACTGTTGATGGTCTTTGTCATAATATTGTGTCTGATTTCATTACTGTTCTACCACTTTTGTTACTATTGAACAAGCTCCTCCATTGGCAACAAAAACTGTACATTAAGATTGTCAACAACTGACCTTGCTTAATGTCTCTGTCAACACTGGACAAATGATAGACTGTCAGTTGTCTCCTTCATTTATTGCAGTTTGAAATTGTCTAATGTTCTGTCAACAATTGTTGCCACACTTGTGTGTACAATAGTCAAAACATTACCTATACGCACGAGTGTATCAGAAGACTGTAAGGATCTCAAGGGGTTAAAGCAATATTTTATGGCAAAATGGAACAGAATAGCTAATAGAAAGAATAATAAGGGTGGGTAAACTTACGTTGGCTTATTCCTAAATGGCAAACCTAAACGATGATCCAGAAATAAATCTATTTCCTCTTAATCCCACACTCAGGCATGTTCATACCAGACAAAAAAGACACATCTCTGCTGGAATTGTGTTTTAAAAAAAAGAGTAAAACAACGCCTTCGGCCGAGAGTCTTGAAAAAATTATGAAGTACAAAATGTGATGTCTTCACAAATCCACTGGATTTTCTGTTGATGAAATTGAATTGCATGGACAGGTTGAAGCCAATTGTCCATCTTCTGTTCCAATCAACTTGGATTTGAGTCACCGTGGATTGGTCACAGTTCATCCCTTCATGTTTTACCAGGTAGACCGAAATGTTGATACTTGAAAACTCCAACAGGTTCCCAGGAAGTTCTACTGAGTAAAGGATTTCAGGAGAGAGGGTTCTGTGGTATCCTCTTTTCACTCACTCCTGGGGCTATATAGAATAGAATCCCTACAGTGTGGAAACAGGCCCTTCGGCCCAACAAGTCCACACCGAACTTCAGACCATCCCATCCAGACCCATTCCCCTGTAACCGACCTAATCTACACATCCCTGAACACTATGGGCAATTTGGCATGGACAATTTACCTAACCTGCACATCTTTGGACTGTGGGAAGAAACCGGAGCACCCAGAGGAAACCCAAGCAGACACGGGAAGAATGTGCAAACTCCACACAGACAGTCGCCCGAGGGTGGAATCGAACCCAGGTTGCTGGCGCTGTGAGGCAGCAGTGCTAACCACTGAGCCACCTTTAGAATTATAATATAATTCTAAGACCAAAAACAGTTTGCTAGATAACCATTAGGATAGAGGCCCTACCCTTTTCAAAGCCAGATTTTCCAATAATTAAGGCAATAAACCCCATGTCATGTCTTCTTGAAAACTTTGCCTGACTGCTTCTCTAAACTCACCTGATTTCTTGTGAACAGCAAGTAAACCATTAAATGATGGTTTTATTTCCTAGAAGAAAAGAACATTTTATGTCCAGTGAATGTCTAAACAGTTCAAAACCTTACAGGCATATTCCGGATAGTCCTTAGATATTGATATGTATTCTCAACATTTCGGGTTTACAGACAGGCTGTCTGTCAGCTCTGTGAATGCACCAAGTTTCTTGGTTCTTTATTATACAATGCCATCAAAATCCTTATTGGAGCTCTCAGCTATGACTTCATATCCAACCCCCCAACCCACAGAAGTAAGTTTTGATGAATTATCTTTCCCCCTGGCCTGGCTCTAGCCCACTTGTCCTTGGAGACTCATACTTGCAGATTCTAAGTATATATCAGACTGTTAAGGTATGCATAGTGCCAATAGACTGAATTTTATCAAACATAGGCTAATTATCAGTTATAGAGAGTTCCGTAGATGGTTTTTTCCCATGTGCTCAAGTGAGGTATCTGATGGAATTATCTGCTGCTTACCTCATTATAGATGCACAACATCCCAATGGCATCAAACTTGCGCTGTCGTGGACTCACCGAAGGCGCAGATTTTCGCTGCCCTGGGACATTCCACAATTTCTGTCTCAGTGCCATATTTAAAATTTAGTTGTGCACCAGGTCAATTGCTGCCAGACATGAATGGCCCTTCACAGCACACATACTGGCAGCAAATTGAAAAAGAAAAACTATGAGTGCACCTAGGCTGCTTGGGTAACAGTTCAATGTAAATAGAATATCACATTTGTAAATGTGTTGCTGCTTTATATCATCACCTCTCTGATCAATTTTCATAATAACTGCTGCTACAAGAATTAAGCTAATGTCTGCTTATCCTTAGGACCATACCATGTTTGAACCCTGCCAAAGGATTGCAACTCTTTCCCTAATGCCCAGCATAACAATAACACCTTGTCATTGTTTAGGACTGGTCATGGACCATTCCATCAACTGACTCAGAAGGACAGGCCAACTGATGATAATCAGACCGCTAACAAAAAGTGCTTATGAAGCTTTTCTTGCTTTCTGAAGTGGTTTCTTAATAGATTTATGAGAAGGCACAAAAGGATATTCTCAGTGCTTATGAGTTGTGGCCTTGAAGCCAATAGTAGATATTGTGGAGTATGCAGAAGCCCATCTGTGCAGACTAATTTAGAGTTTGAGAGAGTGAAACAAATAATTTTAACCAGTGAATATAGCTATTAAAGGTGGAGATTGCATACGAAGCGCTGAGGGAACCAATTCTCTTGGAAGAATGTAAAAGTCAATTCCCTCCATTAGCAAGGACTCAGATAGACAAAAAGCAGAAGGTTGCTACAGTAAGACTGGCAGCTCACAATGACAAAGTAATCCACAAATCCAAACTCTTGCTCCTCACAGAACCTGAAAAGAATAGAAGTTGGGAAGATGAAAAGAAGGCAAGTAGAGTTGGGAATGTCTCATTATCTCCTCAGACTTGAGGAAGCAAAGTGCTCAGGGTGGAAGCAATATCCTAAGGCCTAAATCTTTACATTGTCACAAGATGGGACACCTTTGGTGAATATTAGAGATAAACCTGTGGAACTTATTGGGGTACATGGATTTAATGCAAAGAAAGGAGCCCTGACTGAAAATACAATAGTATCTTGGATTCTTAACTGTGGGACAAAGTACAAACATTGATGTGAGTGTGGGATTGGTAAACAGGATACCTGAGAGTTACAAAGAGTTATCATCAAAAAATAAAGTAACTCCATATTCTTCAAATGAGACAGGCAAACACGTACTTATGGTAAGGGAGACAGGAGCCACGAAACTCTTTTGCTGGTGAAAGATATACCTTTTCCACTGGAGAGTGTACTGTGTGTGCTAATTTTCATAATAACTGCTGATACAAGAATTAAGCTAATGTCTACTTATCCTTAGGACCATACCATATTTTAATGGTATTAGCATTGAGTAAAGACCCACGTCTTTGTTTAGGGTCTAGCTTGTGTATGCCCCAGTGTTTAGAAAGGTAGCTGTAGGGGCTGTCCATAATGTGCCTGTAGACAGAGTTGAGCTACTCCTGGGAAATGATTTGGCAGGAGTGAAGGTTGTAGCCTCTTCAATAGTCACAGAAAGAGCAAATGAAGTCAAGGTGAGGGAGAAATGACAGGAAAAGGTTCCAGGACTTCTTTATTCATGTATAGTAAGTCAAGAAAAATGTCTATTGCCTGAGGTCAAATTGGCACCCCAGATGGACATTGATTATTTGTAACTTTCTTTCAGGATTCGGATAATCTGAAGAAAAGTCTTCTCTGTTGAAGGCTCGGCAAGTTAATTGAGAGTTAAGTAGCACAATCAGCTCAAACTTGAAGCAGAAGCAGCAGAAGTTCTGGAATGCTGCTGTACTGAACCTGGGATTCTGATGAAGAAGTTGAGACCGCCTTACAGACCTGCAGTTAAAGAGTTAATAATGTTCACTACACAATGGTTCAGCACAACTATCATCAATAGATATCAAGGATCAATGGATATCAAGGTTCCAATTTTATGTCAAAAATTTTAAGAAATTTATGAGTAATCTGAGTACAACCTGACTCTCTCTCCGCCAAAACTATTTCCTGACCTGACCCAAATATCCCCTCAAAACACCTCTTTCTCTCACCCTGACTCAACCCAATTTTCTCATTCATCATCACCACCCAGACCTGGCCTGACAACCTTCTCCTGAACAACATCCACCCCCTCCACACCTATACACTTTCCCACCACCAACCCCCTAACCTGACCCAAACAGAAATTGCTGGGAAAGCTCAGCAGGTCTGGCAGCATCTGTGAAGAGAATCAGAGTTAACATTTTGGGTTCAGTGGCCCTTCTTCAGAACTGATGGTAGCTAGGATAATGTTGGTTTATGTGCAGAAAATAGGGTGGAGGGAGGGGCTAAGGAGTAAACAATAGTTGGGAATAGAGCCCAAAGAGAGAGAAGAACAGTTGGACAGACAAAGGAGCAGAGAACGACTTGGCTAGGAAGGTGAATAGCTGTTAATGGGACTCTTAGTGGCTAACAATGGGCGGTGGGTAATAGCAGGCTATGTGATAACAAGCTCAGAGATAGTAAGTAAAAACCAAAAGAACTGCGGATGCTGTAAATCAGTCAGAGATAGTAAGAACTGCCGATGCTGGAGTCAGAGATATCACAGTGTAGAGCTGGAACATGGCAGGCCAGGCAGCATCAGAGGAGCAGGAAAGCTGATGTTTCGGGTCGGGACCCTTCTTCAGAAAAAAGGGTCCCGAACCAAAACGTCAGCTTTCTTGCTGCTCTGATGCTGCCTGGCCTGCTGTGTTCCTCCAGCTCTGTGTTATATGTGATAACAAGGCCTGGTTGTGGGGGTAGGGGTAAGGACACGGGAGACCTCAGGCCGTAAAGTTATTGAAGTCGATATCGAGACTGGAGGGTTGCAGGGTCCCCAAGTGGAAAATGAGGTGCTGTTCTTCCACCTTGTGCTGAGCTCCGCTGGAGCACTGCAGCAAGGCTGAGACAGAGATGTTGGCCAGGGAACACTGCATTGTGTTAAAGTGGCAGGCAACTGGAAGTTCTGGGTCTTTTTTGTGAACAAAACGCAAGTGTTCTGCAAAGTGGTCACCCAGTCTATGCTTCATTTCCCCAATGTAAAGGAGATCACATTGTGAGCAGCGAATGCAGTAGACTAGATTGTTGAGATGCAGTTAAAGCACTGCTTCATCTGGAAGGTGTGTTTGAGCCCTTGTGATCATATAATCGTATAGTCCTGGAGAGGCCCTTCATCCCATTGCGTCTGTACTGCCAAAAATTCACCTTCCCGCATGGGCCCAAAGCCTTGAATGTTATGACACTTCAAATATTTATTCAAGTACTTTTTAACGGTTGTGAGGTTACTTGTCTCAACTAAGGTTACTCGCTAAAAGTAGGATTGCAGGTGCAGCAGGTAATTAAAAAGGCAAATGGAATTTTGTCTGTCATTACTAGAGGGATGGAGTTTAAAAACAGGGAGGCTATACTGCAGCTGTATAGGGTCCTGGTGAGGCCGCACCTGGAGTACTGTGTGCAGTTTTGGTCTCCTTACTTGCGAAGGGATATATTAGCACTGGAGGGGGTGCAGAGGAGATTCACTCGGTTGATTCCAGAGTTGAGAGGGTTGGATTATGAGGAGAGACTGAGTAGGCTGGGATTATACTCATTGGAATTCAGAAGAATAAGGGGAGATCTTATAGAAACATATAAGATTATGAAGGGAATAGATAGGGTGGACACAGGGAAGTTGTTTCCACTAGCAGGTGAAACTAGGACTAGGGGGCATAGCCTCAAAATAAAGGGAAGCAGATGTAGGACTGAGGTCAGGAGGAACTTCTTCACCCAAAGGGTTGTGAATCTGTGGAATTCCCTGCCCAGTGAAGCGGTTGAAGCTACCTCGCTGAATGTTTTTAAAGCAAGGCTAGATAAATTTTTGAACAGTAAAGGAATTAAGGGATATGGTGTGCGGACAGGTAAGTGGAGCTGAGCCTCAAAGATCAGCCATGATCTTATTAAATGGCAGGGCAGGCTCGAGTGGCCGGATGGCCTACTCCTGCTCCTAGTTCTTATGTTCTAACTACCCTCTTAGGTAGTGCATTCCAGACCCGCAACCACCCTCTGGGTGGAATTATTTTTACACAAATCCCCACTAAAGCTTCTTAAAAGTGCATCAAAACATCTAAATTAACACAATTAGTTCTTAGCTCTATACAGGTAACACAATAAGGTATGTGATGTGAAATGGCAATTACCGAACACTTCACTGGTAGAGATATACAGAATGAACGATCCCTCAACTTTGCTGTAACCGTAAGGTCAGTGTGAGACCTGTTCTTGTATTAGTGGTACATTTCCTCCTTTGTTCCAATCCAGGAGCAATTCAGAAACTCTAGCAAACCAGGATTAGAGCAATGGGGAACAAAAACAGAAGTTGCTGGAAAAGCTCAGCAGGTTTGGCAGCATCTGTGAAGAAACAAAAAAATCAGAGTTAACGTTTCGGGTCTGGGTGACCCTTCCTCAGTTCTGCTGAGCTTTTCCAGCAACTTCTGCTTTTGTTCCTGATTTACAGCACTCGCAGTTCTTTCGGTTTTTACAAAAGCAATGGGCCTCACTTTTTAATTCGACCCGTTAGGCTGGGGGATGGCACGCCTCCAGGTGGAGTACCAGAGCGGAATAAATGTTTTTTCTCTGCAACTCCCCGACTCGCGATGGGAAGGAGCTACAAAAGTGACTTTCCCGCCTGCCCAGTTTTTCTTCTCCGCAGCCCCAAGAGTTGAAAACTCTGAGGCGAGGTCCCGCCTTCAGTCATTTTACTTTCACTTTCGCATGGACTCATTCCACTGTCACAGAAATATCACATTTGCCGGGAGGACACACACAGACACAGAGAAACCAACAGCCAATCATACATCACAGGCCGGCTTCTGGGTCCCAGGGTGTATACAGTGGAGTTCTCCTCACTGCTCGGTGCAGTTGTCCGTCGGAGTTCCCTGACTTCTCATCTTCACGCTGTTTGTAATGTACACGTTTACTCCATTTATCTTCTGCCTATAAAAATGTTTTTTTTTAAACAGACTTATACTGTTGAACAGAACGAGACCACTGGAGAAGGCGAGGGAGGGGAAAGTTCTTTCAAATGCGGCTGAAGATGAAATTTACACTTAACTTCCCAGCCCTGAAAGCTTGTACCGTAATTTAAATTGGTCCGGACACAGCCACCTTTTCAGTTTCTGTGAAAGAATTATGAATTTTGCAGCAGCAGGGCAGGCTTGAATGCCTTTAATTTATTGCTGACCTGCTGGATTCATACGGCCAAGTTTTGTGTGGGCATATTGTAATGGTCATTAACGGAGCCTGCACAGTTGGTAAACGTATAAGGGTCACCGGACCCGAAACGTTAACTCTGTTTTCTCCTCCACAGATGCTGCCAGACCTGCTGAGCTTTTCCAGCAACTTTGTTTTTGTTCACTTACCTGGGATAGTAGGAACTGCAAATGCTGGAGAATCTGAGATAACAAGGTGTAGAGCTGGATGAACACAGCAGGCCAAGCAGCATCAGAGGAGCAGAAAGGGTCTAGGCCCGAAACACCAGCTTTCCTGCTCCTCTGATGCTGCTTGGCCTGCTGTATTCATCCAGCTCTACACCTTGTTATCTCTTCACTTACCTGGGCTTGGCCAGGTTTATGGGCGGGAACTGGTTTGCGTATAAAGGTTCCTAATGGTTGAATGTAAAAGATTGTGGATATTTGGGTGAATTGTAATTGTAAGCATGTCTGGAATTTACTTCGGATTATAGCGCATATTACCACTCTCCTGCCTGTTGTTATTTGACTTGGGTTATTCCCAGACCCAACTGCTTACCAGGGAGATACTCGAGGTTACTGAGTTTTAAAATAAAACTTTGAAAAAATTATCGTTGGTGTTTTGTAAACATTTTGTATGGGGGATCAATGTGCCAAATCCAGTTTGAGCTTCAATCTGGATAAATGCGGGGTATTTATTGCACTTTTGTATGACAAATAAGGGTAGGGCTTGTACATTTAATGGTAGTGGCCTTGGGTAGTGCTATAGAACAGATGGACCTAGGGATTCAGGTACATAATTCTTTGAAGTGTGCATCAAATGTACACAGGGTGGTTCAAAAGGCGTTTGGCATGCTTTCCTTCATTGCTCAATCCTTTGAGTAAAGGAGTCGGGAAGTCATGTTGAGGTTGTACAGAATATTGGTGAGGCCTCTTCTGGAATACTGTGTCCAGTTCTAGTCACCCGGTTATTGCAAGGATATTGTTAAGCTGGAGAGGGTTCAAAAGATATTTACCAGGATATTGCCGAGTATGGAAAGTGTGTGTTACAAAGGAAGTGAATAGGCTGGGACTTTTTCACTGGAGTGTAAGAGGTTGGGAGGCGACCTGATAGAAGTTTATAAAATAATGAGGGGTACAGATAGAGTTAATGGTAGTTGTCGTTTCCCTAGGATGGGGGAATTTCAAGATTAGCTGGCACAATTTTAGGGTGAGAAGAGAGAGATTTTAAAAAAAAGGCACGAGGAGTAAATTTTTTACTCAAAGGGTGGCTCGCATGTGGAATGAACCTCCTGAGGAAGTGGTGGATGTGTGTACAATTACAACATTTAAAAGATATTTGGATAAGTACATGAATAGGGAAGGTTTGGAGGGAAGTGGGCCAGGAGCAGGCAGGTGGGATGAACTTAGTGTGGGGTAATGTCTGGCATGGACTAGTTGCTCTGAAGAGTCTGTTTCTGTGCTGTATGACTCGATGGCTCAAAGACTCCAAAAATGAGGAGCAGACAGTAAATTGGAAAGTGTCAATGCTTATTAATTGTATTGTACCTTTATTTTAGCTTGACATTATGCGAGACTACCAATCTCATATGTGACCCTGAAATGCTTGAAGTATTGATTGGAAAGCACTAGGATAGGGCAATTCTTTCACTGCTGGTGAAATGACTGAAACAGACATTGATATTGCAGTGGCAGGGACAGAAATCTCTGGCCCTGGGACCCTAACCCTGACCAAAGCACAGTGAGTCCACTAGAGCCTGGGGCCCTAGTTTCTGGGCCTAATGTACCTTCCCTGACCTGGGCAATGGCCTAATGTAGTATATTGAGAATGTACATGTGAATGAAATGGTGATGTATAAAACGATAAAGCTCTGAAATCAGCAACCCATACAGTTGAGACTTAGAAGCGAGGTTGGATTAATTGGATTGGAGAACTGTAATACAGAGATCAGTATTTCTAATATTTCAAAGCTTGTATTAGAACTTCCCGGAGTCAGGCAATAGTCACCCTTGGATAACGCAGAGACAGAAATGCAGGAGACTCTGACAGGGAACAGTGTTGTCGAAAAAAGCAATCCCTACAGTGCCAAACCGATGCCCAGATTTCGTGGTAGGCAGAATATATGAGGATATATCAATTAAGGGTTATTGTTGCATCTCTGACAAAAGCAATTGCTGGTAATTTATAGTCTTATGGTAATCTAGCTGACAACTCCACAAAGTTGTACCAAAATGGTAAATGTCTTATTTAATCATCAAACTGATCGGTTTATTTCTCTTTTATTACTGTTTTCTTGGGGGAAAAAGAAAGGAGCCTTCAACTAGGTTTCTTCAATAAACTCAAAAATAATTTGTTTATTAGAAACAAACATACCCCTTAGACAAGTGGCAAAACTGGTTAGCAGATAACTGTGATGCAGAATTAAACTATATTACCTTAAACCTAAATGCACACATTTATATCCAAGACAAAACAGCAAAGCTCTGCAGAGATAGCATGTTTTGGGGGGATAAAAAAGTAAGAAAAGAAACCCTGTCAAGTTTCAAATTCACATGATAAAATGGATTGGCTTTCAATAATTCCTTTGATTTCCTGTCAACAAGATCCAATTGCTGGGTACCAGTTAGAAACCTTGATATTTAAATTTATCAGCTTTCACAAATACTTTACTCAGAAAGAGAGCTGTTGGCTCTGCTTTCTGGTGCAACTGATATCCCAGCTCAGCGAAAACACACAGCAACTTCACTCTAGTAGACTGCTGTTAGTCAGTGAACAGCATAGATTGAAGGCTCCTCTATGTCTCTTGATCCTGTAATTAAGCAGTCAAACCTACCTCTTTGCTCTTCTTAAAAACCTTGGGTTCTTTCTCTGAAAATTATTTGATTTTCCTTTAGACAACAGTTATCTTTGACCTTTTGACATTTTGCTTTCATGAAATCATTTGATAGAGCCTCTTTAATCCAGAATCGACCAAACAGTTCCATATTCCAGTTTCTCATAGTCCATAAATACGTATGTATTCCTCACATTGTATGCATGGAAGTAGGTCAATCCATCATCTCAGTTCAAACAACCCATGTCTGCTTTAACATGTGTAATTCTGGATGAATGATCAATTCCTTTGCTGTTTTGGCATTTAAGCAAAAATAATGTTGTTCAATATTGATCAGAGCTGTTGACCGTGTGCTTTCGCTCATTAGCCAGGAATTTCTGTTTGATCAAACTGGTTTTCTCAGTTCAGTCTGGCCAAAGGTGACATAATCAAGGCTCACAGCATTTTTGGGTTCAGTACAACTCAGGTTTCTGCGTGTTTTGTGCTCATATTTAAAACTATTGCACAAGAAGTAGGTGTCGCCAATAAAACTGGCCAAGGATGTGCCAGTACAACCAACCAGGTGGTTGCCAAGGCGGCAAGTTTTGAGGAAGGTGGCAAAAAACTTTTTTTTTAAAAAAAGCAGAACTTAAAGCCAGCAGAAACCACATAAAGCTTGTCACCAATATCCCAGCGACCAAAGAAAGCATTCTGGAGACTGCAAAACAATGCTCTAAAGAAATTAGTCCCAAAATGGTGTTATCAGAAACCGAGGGGAAAGTATTCCCAACTGCCAGCTTCATGGGCATTGCCACAGCGTGACATTATGTCCGGCACTGTGTCACACAATCAAACTGAAACCAAAAAGATGCCAAGAGGACTCTGGCTGGGATTTTTTGACAGGCTGCGTTTGGGTGGCACAGTGACTCAGTGGTTAGCATTCTGCCTCGCAGGATCAGGGACATGGGTCTTGGGTAATGGGTGTATGGAGTTTACACATTCCCCCCACGTCTGCGTGGGTTTCCTCCCACGGTCCAAAGATGTGCAGGTTAGGTTGATTTGATGATGGTAAATGCAGGGTTAGAGGGATATCGTGCAAATCTGGGTCTGGGTGGGATGTTTATGAGATTGTCGGTGCAGTATTGATGGGCCGAATGGCCTCTTTCTGCTCTGTAGGGATTCTGTTTCTATAATTGCTTAGTCTGTACTTTCATTGAGGGATCAGGCATGTTGTAGTCTGCGTGATGGACGGTTGGAGGAACACTTTTTATTTTGGATTGAATCAGTGATTTGTTTATAAGGTTGTTTCTGTTGTATAACTGTGACTGGCAGACAAACAGCAGAGCTTTAACACATAGCCTGCTTGTTGCTTCTGTGTGTTTCTACAGCAGCGTTTTAGTTCCCAATGTGAAGGCGTTTCAGTTACTTAAATTTAGTTCACAGAAGGCCAATTTACCTTCATATGCAGATTTTTTTGTTGGAAGTTGGTTTTTCTTCAGTACGATGAACATCTGCACTATGTTGTAAGTTGTATTTTATTGCTGACCTCAGTAAGGGCAGCTTTAAAAGTTCCTGGTAGGTTTTTGCAAACAGCACATAAATTTCTGCGAGAGTAACAGAAGAAAAGGGAACTTCCTTTTTGACGTCAGAAATAGCAAGCACTGCAGATGCTGGAGTCAGAGACAACACAGTATGGAACTGGAGGAACACAGCAGGCCAGGCAGCATAAGAGGAGCAGGAAAGTTGATGTTTCGGGTGGGGACCCTTGTTTAGAAATGGGGAGGAGGAAGGGAACTGGGAAATAAATAGAGACAGGAGGAGTGGGGTTGGGGAAGATAGGTGGGATGGTGATAGGTGAGTGTAGGTAGGCAGTGGTGGGGATTGGTCAGTGAGGTGGGAGGAGCA